CAGGAACTGTAATTCACATAATTTACAAAATCATCCTAAAAGATAATTCATTAAGATTTGTCATATTAACGAATTTTATACATAATATTCTCCATTTCATATAAAATGCTTGTTCACCTCTCCTAAATCTGAGTCAGCTGATATTTGCTCTTGGCAAAAAAAATTTTTTTTTTCTAATTTTGGCTTTTGGGGTCGGACAGTTGTAAATCAACTAAACTATAGAAAGCCTAATTCATTAGAATAAACCTTCATGTAAATATCGGTCATTCTGACTATATAATACACACTTCAACAATTGTCAGTTTCACAACGGGAGAGCACTTCTTGCATTGCCCTCATCACATGATGCCTGCCCCAAACTGGGACCATTAGGAATATCTAGGGTAGCATTAGTAAAACAAAAACTCTAATCATTTCTAGCATGATTGACCAGTTTTGATGAAAATATACCATCATGTGCTTTGTGCTTTCTTTTGACCCAAAGTCTAACAGCCTGCATATTACTACTGACAACATTTCAATAAAAATGAAATCAGATCTTCCAATCCAATGTGATCCCAATCAGGGTGATATCGTATCAGAGTAAAAGGTCTGATTGTAAGGCTGTCCATATTTTTTTTCCATGTGTCCCATCTCGTATCAGAGTAAATGGTCCGATGAAAAGGCTGTCCATATTTTTTTCTGTTTTCCGTTCCTTATCAGAGTAAATGGTCAAATTGAAAGGCTGTCAGTATTTTTTTTCTGTGTTTCCCATCTCACGTGAGCATAAAACGACTGATTGTAAGGCTGTCCATATTTAATTCAGTGTTTCCCATCACCCATAATTTTCGTTCCAATGTGAAGCTAAAAAGAACCTGTCACATCTCAGTTTTCCTGTAACTACAGAAATGTATGCCTGCTGTGATTAAAAATACTCGTACCCTTAGTCATGAAAAAAATTATCATCCTGATCTCTCTTTACCTATACGTATTTTTAAAAAGGATTTCCAAAGCAAAACAACTACAGGTCTAAATTTTAACATTTCATAAAATAAATTACAGTTAGTGAAAAGCATTATTTTTTCCACCTGCCTCCTCTCTTGCTGGAAGGTGGTGTTGATAAGAAACATACTAAACCTATGGATGGCCTGATAAGTCTGATCATCACTTCGTTGTATATATGACATCACCTGTATCACTACAATATAGTTACATGTACATTAAAGGCAAGGTTTGGGGGACAGAATTTGTAATATATTTCACTAAATACTGGCTGACTTTGTTTCAAAATATTGTAAAGGTTCTGTCCACTACTTGGCATCGCTGCTTGGCCTAGCATTGGTCACTAGTTGAGCTTAAGACATCTTTAAGGTAGGCATCCAAACACTGTTCTTACCTTGATAGTAGAGCACAAGTGAAGAGTGAGTGAGGGAGTTGAGTTTTTATCAATAAAGCAGCCACAACATGGCAGGGAGACACCAGGGGACTCAAACAAGTGTACATATGTGGAGAATGAAACCCAAGTCTGTGTTAATGCTCTACCACTAGGCCACCAATGACAACCAGTTGAGCACAAAACCCATACAGGCAAAGGCACAAGATTGTCGATCCAAGGGACTTATAAGAGAGCTTAAATTCATTGTTTTGCTGTTGTCTTATACCACTCTCAGCTACATTACATGTCCAGCTGCATGACTGCCTGTAAATAATTAAGTCCTAAACAGGGCTTTGGTTCCATGCCACACTGAATGACACATTGCAAATGTGGTGCATCCTTACGAAAGCAATTTGTTCAAAATGTGCATCAGTTCACCTAGCAGTAGATGGGTACCTGGTAGGGTCAGACGGTTATGTGACTGTTACCTTCTAGCATATACCAGGCATTTGGGGTTGAATACTCCATGGGATCTCTACTCTCCGAATAATAATAAAATAGCGTCATGAGCATTCGACTGGTGAAGGCAAAAGGGCACATTATACATGCACTTATTACCAGTGATTGATAACATGAGCATCCAGCATCAACACCTTTGGGGTACGATGACAGGAACTCAGTCACCAAGACTGAATACCTGATGTACTGTAAATCATGAAATTAATGCGTCACGAATTTAGTGCGAGTGTCTAGTCTAAAATGCCTTGCGAAATGAATACGAGCTCAGGAATCTGTGTTGATGATAAAATGTGACACCCTGAATCTTTGGTGTTGTTCTTTTTCTTTTCACACTTGTAATTTACAAAATAACCTGAATTGAGCTTGTTAAGCAATGATTAGAAATGAGCTAACGATGTTTTGATTACGCTGCCATGTTCGATCACCTGATTGCTTGCAACTACTTGTCTTATGACAACATGTATAAACGTAATCCGACTTGAAAGACACAAGTCATCTACCAAGGTACAACAAACAAGTAGTTGGAGAATGTCCGGTCTGGCTGATGTGCTTGAGTGACTTTAAACAATGACCAGTGATTGTAACCAGTGATAATTACATGTGGCTTGAGATACCTGTAATGAGGAAGTGACCTGTATTGGTGTAATGTGTAGTGTCAACAGATTTATGTTTTCTGTCTTTTATTAAGTTCTCAAAAGTAAACATGGTCAGACTGAAATGCGTCATTATAATAATGCAAGAAGAGTACAGACACATTTTTCGCATTAATAAAATGCTCTCATTAATTTCATGATTTACAGTATTTGGTTGCCTTGGACAACCAGCACAGGTTGCTAGGGACCTATTCTAACCCAGAGTTCACAAACAACATCCGGTAATTGATTTCAACACGGAACCATACTCTCTTAGAGGTTAGAAGTTATGTCCCTTTACTGCAGACTACTTGCTTGACAAAGTAGACAGAAGAGGCACGGGGGTTGGTTAACAAATTTTAACAAAAATAAATACAATTATGACAATATGGACAGGATAGTAACCTTTTCAGGTTCCATTTAAAAGATTTTCTTTCTGCTTGTCTTCATTTCCTGTGACTATCCAGAATTTTATGCAATCATAATAAACATTACTTAAAATTTCATTTTAATGTTAAGCCTTAACCCACAGTTGTGGAAAGAAATTCTGTGAAACAACTGATTCAAATTGGGCTAACTATCATTCAAATATTATTCTCAAAGTGCTTGTATTTTCATCAGTTGACTGTGTGTGTTTGTGATCTTAAGCTGCACATTCCAGCAGTATCATGGATCTGACCAGCATTTGACGACAAGCAATGGAGAGCTGGGACCTAATAATCAGGATCCTAGACACGTACCTAACAACACAATAAAACATGGAGGCCAGTCCACAATCACCAACCCATCCTCTCACACCTCAGAACTTGCATTTTGGCCGAATTTCCCTCACCCCGGGATCTCTAGTTCTGGTTCCCACAATCTCAGATTACCTGCCCGATTTGTCTCAGTACTCAGTCAAACAGACCAATCAGAAGGCAAGTTACAAATAAGTCTCAATGTTGGGTGAATATCCATAGAATGGAGGCCAGACCAAAAGAGTATGACAGAATTTGAAAGAAATTTATCATAAAAACTCGACTGGAACCTTCAAGAAAGCCCTAACGGTCATTTCAATGGAAAAATGTCTTCAAGTCCATTGAAACTGCACATGGCAAGTTCTCCCTCATCAAATTCCTTTTTCCTTATCACATGTGATTGACTGGTAAACTGCAAATCAAGGGCAGATAATTCAAGATTGCATTGTGAGAAACTTGAGAATGGATCCAGAGGTTGGTGCAGGTTTACCGAAACGCAAGCCCCGGAGATAGAGATAATGTTCTAATGGAACCAGCATTGTAAATGGTCACGCCATTTTCAGGAAATGTTAAAAAAACATAAACATAAAAATATATCCATCAACATTCAAAAGAACACGTTTTGCTTTTTGCCTATTTTTTGGTATAAATATTCATGTTAAAAATGGCTACACAAGTATGTACAATAAAATAACAAGGTGACTTCACAACAATACTATCTAGTCAACCACATTTACTTGACTTCAGTGTGCTGTCTTGAGACAAACTAATGTTGTCATGGCAACATAAAAAGTATGTAAAAGAACAATTTCATCAATGTAAAAGTGACATGGTGTGACATGATGTGACCAATGATGTATATGATAACATTATAAACAAATCCCAGCAGCTGAGTCAGGACACTGTAATTAAGTATGAGTAGATCTAGTTTCAGTCTCATGAAATAAACACTCAGTATTTGTTTACCTAGCCCCAGTATTAGTTTATCTAGCCTCAGTAACAGCAGATCTAGCCTCAGTTTCAAACCTCTATTTTCAGTATAAGATATTGCCTCAGTTTGATCATATTTAACCTCACTCATAGTATGTCTAGCCTCATTCATAGTATGTCTAGCCTCATTCATAGTATGTCTAGCCTCAGAACCCGCATATCTATCCTTATTCAAAGCATATCTAGCCTCAGTACCAGCAGATCTAGCCTGCCATATATTGCCTCAGCCTGCGTACATCTCGCCTAATTACAAGCTTATCTAGCCTCAGTACCAGCAGATCTAGCCTATCATATATTGCTTCAGCCTGCATACATCTCGCCTAATTACAAGCAGATCTAGCCTCAGAACCAGCAGATCTAGCCTACCATATATTGCGTCATCCGCTGTACATCTCACCTAATTACAAGCTTATCTATCCTCATTACAGACAGACTGAGCCACAGTATTGGCAGATCCAGCTTCAATCACAAAAAGTAGAGCTTCAGTCTCACTAAATTATGCCATATATTTGCTGAAAATATGTCAGTATGGTCTAAACATAGCGTCAAAATTTGGATATCAGTCGTCACCAATTACGTTTAAATTTCTCTTGAGCTTTCTCCTTCAAAGCAATGACAGGTTTTAGGACAAACTCACCAATTTATGTACTAGGGTGATCATGTTTATGAGTGAGTGAGAATGGTTTTACGTAGCTTTTAACAATATTTCAGCAATATCATGACGGGCGACACCAGAAATGGGCTTCACTCAATGTACCCATGTGGGGAATCGAACCCGGGTCTTCGGCGTGACGAGCGAACACTTTAACCACTAGGCTACCCCACCGCCCCTTATGTTTATGAAAAGAGCCACTAGATTTACAAAGGTCATGTGCACGGGTTCACCAGGAAGTTACATCCACTAGTATGCCCTTATCAATAAAGTGTTATGAATTGTGGGATAGCAAGGTCGTAAGTCTATTCTAAAGAGCAGGAGCTGCCGCTGTTGTAAGTTCAACTTAATTGACAGGGATTTAAGCCTGTTACATAGGACTGGAGCTAAGACCGTCGTAAGTCTATTCTAAAGAGCAGGAAGACTGTTAGTGCTTAGGTGCACAAATTACGAACTTCAGTAACTGACTGGCTTTTATTTCAAGTCTATTAGCAAGTATGACTTTTCCACTGCCTGTATTCAAGTTCAAGCAGCTATGAGTGTGGCACTTAGAACAGGACTCACACATTCAGCTCAGAGTAAATTAATCTTAAGATTTGACAACGTAGGCTGACGACAGTCATAGCACAAAGATGACATCGTGGAACAGGGTCCCATTGTACAAAGCAATGTTAGCGCTAAGATGACCGTAACCCCCACACCGTAACATACATTTACCACAGTCGTAGCGCTAAGATGACTTTGTGGAACAGGCCAATGTGTCACCAGTTCTATCACTATCACAGAACAGCAACATCTAAAACAGTTGTAAGGTATTCATAATAACGACTTCATCTCATACTGTAAAGTGTATGTAAATACAAGGTCACATGGAAGGAGTCAGGAAGATCGTTAGTGCTGACAATTCTCCAGGAAGACCCAGCGACACAATATTGAAGATAATCTCATCCAGAGATCCAAGTCCTCCAATGCCCTAGCCTGGAGTCATGAAGTCTTAGAGCCTGGGAGATTCATGTTAATGTTCGTCTGCCATGTGTAGTTGCCATGGTTACCAAGATGGTCAGTCGCTATCTGATCCCTCACTGTCGATGATGCCCTTCAGCCCAGCTAGCCTCATCTTCAGGGGGGTCATCTTCTTCTGTGGAGACGGACTCGGGGTCAGGCCACGCTTCTTGTAGCGACTCTGCACCTTCCGTCTTGGCGCACGACCTGAAATAGATGTGTAATGTGAGAGAGAGTGAGTTTAATGGTTCAGGGATTGGGATAGAGAACTTTGACAATGGGCCATTTTCAGGATTATTAGCCATTTTCTGAACTTAGAATGGGCCAATGCCCTTGTATCAATAGTAAACTTCAAATTTTAATGGGCCATTTTTTTATTCTTATGTAAAATGGCCCATGGTCCCTGCCTTTCCCAATCCCTGATGGCTGTTTGAGCAATATTCCATCCACATTATAGTGGGGATGTCCAAATAGTCTTAACCAAACAAGCGGTTAATCAAACCTGTTTTGTTTGTTTGTTGTTCAACACCACACACATCCCAGCTATGATGGCGGTCGGTAAATAATAAGTTTGGACCAGACAATCCAGTTATTGACATCATGACTGACTGACTTGGGGAAAGACACCAGAAATGGGCTTCATTGTACCCATGTGGGGATTTGAACCGGGTCTTGGTAATGCCGAGCCAACGCTATAACCATTAAGCTACCCCACTGCCAGTTTGACATCATGAGCATCTGCTACGCAACTGGGAAGCAGCGACACACATGAAGTCAGCGAGCTTGACCACCTGATCCCATTAGTCTGCTACCAACGCCTGCCACCTACCGGATTCTGAGATGATGTTATCTGTATCCAGCTCAGCTGCCTCTTTCTTCAGCTTCAGAATCTCTGCCTTCTTCATACTTGGGGCTCCTGCAACGGGGACCAAGAGAAACAATTGAGCCTTAGTCACACAATATACACATATACACTTCCCAAAAGAGGTTAAAACTTACTTGATTAACTACAGTTACAGGGATGCCATGACAGATAAGCTATAGAAATAGGAATCAGGTGTCATTAACGTCTTTTTAATACATAATACAACAAGGACAGGTCCCCTCGCAACAGATCATCATCACCCTTACTGGTCCCCTCCCTACAGATCATCCCACCATCCTGACAGGTCCCCTCGCTACAGATCATCACCACCCTTACAGGTCCCCTCCCTACAGATCATCACCATCCTGACAGGTCCCCTCGCAACAGATCATCATCATCACCCTTACTGGTCCCCTCCCTACAGATCATCCCTCCCTACAGTCCCTCAGATCATCACCACCCTTACTGGTCCCCTCCCTACAGATCATCCCCTCCCTACAGATCATCACCACCCTTACAGGTCCCCTCCCTACAGATCATCACCATCCTGACAGGTCCCCTCGCAACAGATCATCATCACCCTTACTGGTCCCCTCCCTACAGATCATCCCCTCCCTACAGATCATCACCACCCTTACAGGTCCCCTTCCTACAGATCATCACCATCCTGACAGGTCCCTCAGCAACAGATCATCATCACCTTACTGGTCCCCTCCTACAGATCATCCCTCCCTTCATCATCACTCCCCTTACTGGTCCCTCCTACAGATCATCCCCTCCCTACAGATCATCACCACCCTTACAGGTCCCCTGCAACAGATCATCACCACCCTTACAGGTCCCCTTCCTACAGATCATCACCACCCTTACAGGTCCCCTCCCTACAGATCATCACCATCCTGACAGGTCCCCTCGCAACAGATCATCATCACCCTTACTGGTCCCCTCCCTACAGATCATCCCCTCCCTACAGATCATCACCACCCTTACAGGTCCCCTCCCTACAGATCACCACCACCCTTACTGGTCCCCTCCCTACAGATCATCACCAACCTTACTGGTCCCCTCCTACAGATCATCACCAACCTTAATGGTCCCCTCCCTACAGATCATCACCACCCTTACTGGTCCCCTCCCTACAGATCATCACCACCCTCACTGGTCCCCTCCCTACAGATCATCACCACCCTTACTGGTCCCCTCACTACAGATCATCACCACCCTTACTGGTCCCCTCACTACAGATCATCACCTCCCTACAGATCATCACCACCCTTACTGGTCCCCTCCCTACAGATCATCACCACCCTCACTGGTCCCCTCCCTACAGATCATCACCACCCTCACTGGTCCCCTCCCTACAGATCATCACCACCCTCACTGGTCCCCTCCCTACAGATCATCACCACCCTTACTGGTCCCCTCACTACAGGACGTCGGCACGCTCGATCACCCCCTTCCTACAGATCATCACAACCCATTCATAACTACTCGCCTCTTTCCACGACCTACAAGAAGACTCATACCCCTATCGTACGCCATTATTGCCAAGAATCGTGGCAAACCAATCAAATCGCACGTAGTAAAACGCATTTCGAAGCATGAAAATGGCGGCACCGTTTAAGTTTGAAACTTCGCTAAACTATGCAAAGCACAATTAAAACATAAACTTTGAGCTAAAGGATAAGCAACTTTAAACACTGAAACATATTTACAAAGGGAATGACTGTATGGCTGTTTTGTCCCCGGGATATAGGATATTCTAGGAGCCATGTTAAGAAATTCAGAGTTATTTTTCCTTGGTAATAGTACTAGACTATTTTCATCTCCATGCCCGTTTGCACTTAGACAGGGCCCAGTCGTAAACATGGCCACAACAGGGGTACGAGACAGGGTACGAGACGGGGTACGAGACGGGGAACGAGACTGGAGTGAGTAGGCGAGTGCGAGACAGGAGTGCGAGACAGGGTGCGAGACGGGGAACGAGACGTCGTCCGGCTTGCCGGAATGACATGAGTAGTTACGCTCACTACAGATCATCACTACAGATCATCACAACCATGGCAGGTTTCCTCACTACAGATCAGCACAACCCTGACAGGTCCCTCACTACAGAGGGATGTACAGGTGCGAGACCCTGCCTGAGACAGGGTCACTGCGAGATCGGGAAGCGAGACGACGTCCGGCTTGACGGAATGACATGAGTAGTTACACTCACTACAGATCATCACTACAGATCATCACAACCATGGCAGGTTTCCTCACTACAGATCATCACAACCCTGTTAGGTCCCCTCACTACAGATCACCACAACCCTGACAGGTCCCCTCGCTACAGATCATCACAACCCTGACAGTTCCCCTCATTACAGATCACCACAACCCTGACAGGTCCCCTCACTACATATAAGCACAACCCTGTCAGGTCCCCTCACTACAGATCAGCACAACCCTGACAGGTCCCCTCACTACAGATCATCACAACCCTTATATGTCCCTATCTCACCTTGCATCCCCCTTGAGCGCAGGATTTCCTTGATCTTATAGATCTTAGCAGCATCTGTGTCGCAACCCAGGAGCTCCACAGAGTTCCGCAGGATGATCCCTGCACACCGACAGATCTTCCTCAGCTGGGTCAGCTGTGAGGCACCTCTCCCGCTCTTCGTCTGCAATGTCACAGAATTACAGAGTCAGAAGACCTCACAGGAACGATTAATCAACAGAATACACTTGTGAAACTTGCCTCCTATTTACCCTGTATGGAGTGTATGTTTGTAACACATGTAAGAGTTATCATCCTTGCTTCAAGATGGTTGTTGGTTTGGTTTTTGTTTAACGCCACACTCAGGAATATTCGAGCTACATGGTGGCAGTCTGTAAATAATCGAACCTGGACCAGACAATCCAATGATCAACAGCATGAGCATCAATCTACACAAATGAGATACGATGACATTTGTCAACCAAGTCAGTGAGCCTGACCACCCGATCCCGTAGTCGCCTCTTAGGACAAGCATGGGTTACTGAAGACCAATTCAAACCTGGATCCGGTCCCAACTGGAAGGAAACTACTGCAGACAAATACACTATGTAGGTTTTACCACACACAAAATTGCGGACACAAAAAACGTCACAATCAATGCTAAGGGAACCAACAATTTCCAGACACATTGTAATACTAACAGCATTAACCAGGGATATATATCTCAATCTTATCAAATGGTCGGTGTCAAGGTGTTTATGTCAGAGATACAGAGATCCAGATAAGATTTAGCTCATGTGGGTACTGTACCCACTGTATTTTTTTGGAGTGGGTATTATGAATGTTGAGTGGGTATTTCATTTTCCGTTACCCACTGCTTTCAAATATGTGCGTATTTCAGTCAGTTTACTCACCTAAGTATTATGTCATTGAGTAAGTTTACTAAGCAGGTATGTTCTGCCTTATGTCATACCTAATCAAAACCAACTTTAATATAATGGAAATGATTGCATAAAAAATCACTCATCCTATACTGACAGTACAACACTTGTCCTATACTAACAGTACAACTTGATAGCAATCGATGTCTTTTTCATTACAAAGCGATTTTTATAAATATATTCCGTACGCATTTGTTTTAAACTTTTTGCGTATCTAACATTTTAAATGCGTAATTGGTACGCAACAATTATTTTTTCAATGTGTAATTGGAAATTTTCTATGCGTATTTTACCCGGATACGCAGCTTATCTGGGCCTCTGAGAGATACCAACTCCAAAACAACATCTAAGAAACAGCCAAATGAAACTGCCTGAACGTGCTAACAAATTAACCCCAGATTGCTCATACGCTCTTATGCAGTCTCCAGGACTGACTGACTGACTGAGTTTGGTTTTTATGCCGCTTTTAGCAATATTCCAGCAACATCACGGCGGGGGACACCAGAAATGGGCTTCACACATTGTGCCCATGTGGGGATTCGAACCCGGGTCTTCGGCGTGACGAGCCAACGTTTTAACCATTAGGCTACCCCACCGGCCCGCAGTCTCCAGGAATGGCGATGAAGCACAGCTATAAAACATCACAAGTCCTGTCAACTAGTGTTGGGAATTGGTTAAAATCTCTTCATTGATGATTGGTTCATTACAACCGATCAATCATCGAAAATAATTGGTTTGCGTCATTTATCAAATTTTCCTGTTATGTTCTTTAACGCATAAACGTTTTTCGGGATTTTTTTCAAATTGTACAAAATACATTTGCAAATTTTACATCTTCAAAGGATTACTAGTACGTTAGGAACATAAATTTCCTGGAGTCTTTAAGTTACTTTGACATGTTTACGATAAATTCAGTCATGACTTGAAACGAAGTTGTAGTGCTAATTAAATGTAAATTTAATGACACAGACAAAACCAACCTTGTGAAAAATATTGTGATGCAAACAAGTGTTCTAAAATTGTTTGTGTTCGATTATGAGAAAACACAATCGATTGCTTGGTCGTTTAGACACTGCGAACCAATCTTCGATTATTTCAATTAATCAGACCACCACTACTGTCAACATCTTGAATATCACAAAGTGTATCTTTACATCCTTTGAGGACCCATGCTTGTCGTAAGAGGCGACTAATGGGATCGGGTGGTCAGGCTCGCTGACTTGGTTGACACATGTCATTGGTTCCCCATTGCGTAGATCGATGCTCATGCTGTTGATCACTGGATTGTCTGGTCCAGACTTGATTATTTACAGACCGCCGCCATATAGCTGGAACATTGCCGAGTGCGGCGTAAAACTAAACTCACTCACTCCTTTATGAGGGTCATCTCCTACCTTGGATTTGCCTGCTGCTTTGTTATTAGACTGATGCACGTTGACTGCTTCAATCGAGGACATGCTGTCTTCAGACCTCACCTCTACTGACACCTGGAATAATACAAAGCATTTATTAGGTCATACTGTACATTCTAAGTGAAGGATAAGTTGTATTTAGCCAGATATAAGCCTTTGACATTGTCAAACTTGCAGCAACAGTTCACAGGTATATTATTAACGTTTGCAGGAGAAATGCAACAACTTCAACTACAATTCTTAACAAGTTCACTGAAAGAAACAACTGCAACCCTGAGTGCAGTGCAGACATTATTGTTCACCATTCAGAACTGCCCCTTTGCTGGTCCCGTGAGGATCCGGGTTCGAATGAACCTTCAGTAACCCATGCTTGTCGTAAGAGGCGACTAACGGGATCGGTAGGTCAGGCTCGCTGACTTGGTTGACACATGTCATTGGTTCCCCATTGCGCAGATCGATGCTCATGCTGTTGATCACTGGATTGTCTGGTCCAGACTCGATTATTTACAGACCGCCGCCATATAGCTGGAATATTGCCGAGTGCGGCGTAAAACTAAACTCACTCACTCCTTTGTGAGGGTCATCTCCTACCTTGGATTTGCCTGCTGCTTTGTTATTAGACTGATGCACGTTGACTGCTTCAATCGAGGACATGCTGTCTTCAGACCTCACCTCTACTGACCCCTGGAATAATACAAAGCATTTATTAGGTCATACTGTACATTCTAAGTGAAGGATAAGTTGTATTTAGCCAGATATAAGCCTTTGACATCGTCAAACTTGCAGCAACAGTTCACAGGTATATTATTAACGTTTGCAGGAGAAATGCAACAGCTTCAATTCTTTCTTTTTTTTCTTTTTTTTTTTCAATCATTTTTTTTTATTTTCATGAAAAAGTAAAGTCTTCCATCATAAGTTGTATATAATGTCATATCTGATATATCATAAGTATATAGTATTACATCCCATATGTCATGTTGTAAATAGCATCATATATGAACATATCATATTGTTTTATAGCACCACATCTGACATATCAAGCTGTATATTGTGTCACATCCAACATATCATGTTGTATATTGCATACACATTCAACATATTTTGTTGTATATGGCGTCACATCTGACATACCACATTGTATATAGAGCCACATCTGACATAACATACTGTATATAGTGCAACACCCGACATAGCATATTGTATATAGTGTCACGGCCAATCTATCGTGTTGTACATAGTGTATTACCTGATATACATTGTAAATATGTCTTATCTAACATGTGTTGTATATAGTGCCACAATTATTCTGACATGTCATGCTGTGTCTTGTGTCACATCCAATGTGTTGTGTTATATATTGAGCAACATCCGAGTTATTGTGTTGTATATTGTGTCTTATATCCAACCTATAATATGTGTTCCCCAAAGTTACACCAGTGCCATTAACTAACTAGTCAATATAGAACTAAAACAATGATAATTTTTCAAAAGGGGAAACAGATCAAGATTTTACAAAAGAAGCGGTTGCTACATACACAGGTCAGGTTTGAAATACTGGGAATAATGGATGCCATTTATTAGCAAATTTCTTCATTTTATTCTTCCTTTTGGCAATGAAGCTTTCAACAGAAAAAATATCTTTTAAAGTCTTTATAAAGTTATCGCATTTTGGAATATTGTTTTCAAAGAAGAGACATAGATCTGTCTTTTGCTGAAATGATTATATGATTAAGTAAAGGGGTTTTTACTTAAGGAGCCAAAATACACCAAATATTTTGTCAAATTGACTTTTTGTATCAAATAAGTGTTAATCCAAATTTGAAGATCCTTCCAAAACTTCTTAGTTTCACTACATTCCCAGTAAACATGGCACAAGTTTTCATCTTCATCTTTACAAAAGCTGCATGAGGCGCTCTGGATAAGGTTCATTTTTAAAAGTTCCTTTTTGGTATAGATAATACCGTGTAAAAGTTTATATTGGAACTCTAAGAGTTTTACATCATTAATGTCTGGTCTGTAAGACTTGAAAATCATTGGCCAATCAAAGTCAGTATCTTCAAACACATTCTTCCATTTATGACACATATGAGGGTTATTATTAATAAATAACAATATATCATAAAATAATCTTGATCCTTGTAATGATTTCATAAAATTCTTTTGATAGGAGTTAAGATTCATGTCATAGTTATTTATACACCTGTGATTTGTTATTGTATTTTTCCATGATTCAGGTATATCAGAGGTACAGATAAGCTGCGTATCTGCGTAAATTACGCAAATATTTATGCGAAAACTCAATTCCTGTTAAGTCTATTGCGTACAAGTACGCTTGAAATTTTGTAAATACTCAATAGATGTGATGTTACATGCGTACACACAAAAGTGTCAAATCTTAGCTTGCGTACCGGTGGATAGATACAATAACTGAGGTATTGAGAGGTTCTATTTCAGGACATGAACTTGGCAACTTGCAGTCTCTCTTATCGTTTCTCATATTACAGATCAAATATAAATAACAAACACTAACTTTAAACTTTATTATATTTTAACAATTAATGGAAAATGACAAAATACCCAATTGAGTTTGAGTGAGGTTGGTACAATTTATTTGGTTATTCAATGGAAAATTAGGATACCCAATTGACATGACCACAAGCGAGTACATAACTCAATGACCCAAAACGTTATCTGTAGCTCTGTATATTATTTAGAACATATGAGTGATCTAATTCTGTCCCTTTTATTGCATATTTACTTTTTAAAGATTCAAAAGACATCAAACCTTCTTCATCACACATGTCTTTGATGGTTAATAGTCCTTTATTTGCCCAATGACTGATATAATGATTTTGGTATTTAAAATTATGATTAAACCATAATGGCTGTGCTAAAATTTCATCAATGTTGTTTTCCTCTATGGTAATGTTAGTACAATACATGTTCCATGCTTTTAAAACATCTTTCCAATATGGATTATGAATATCAGCAATATTATAGAAATTAGCACCAAACTTCATGATATCATGTAGCGAGGAAAACTGCATGGATTACATATTGATGATTTTCTTAAATAAAATCTCAAAGTGGATAGTTTCAATGCATTGATAAAGGTTTTATGTCGATCATTCTTAAACCCCCATGTATATAATCTTTTTTCAAGGTACTTCTCTTAATTTTGTCAGTTTTGTCAGTCCAGATGAATTTGAAAATATTTTATCAAGGGAGGTAACAAAAGCTGGGGGTGGGTTTGGTAAAGTGTTGAAAATATGAACTAATTTTGACATAGCTAGTGTCTTGATAACAGTGATTTTGCCGATTAATGTTAAATGTCTTTTTTTCTCCACACTGCCAATAATCTGTTAATTTCCTCTAGTTTTTATTTGTATTGATGATCCATAGATCCTTCAGTTCAGCATTAAAGTATAATTCCCAGAACAAATTCATTTTTTAAGCCATTCAATATTCAAATCCTGACATAGTTTATCACCACAACCTGCTTTAGATCCAATCCAGATAGCTTTAGTCTTATCAATATTTATTTTTTAGTCCTGACATCCTATAGAAAGTATTAATTGTATCAACAGCAGAGTATAGACATTTTTCTGTACCATCCAAAAACAACTCAGTATCATCTGCATATTGTCCTAATTTATACTCTGTATCATCAATTACTATACCTTTGATATTTTCATTTTGTCTTATCATGCATCCAAAGATTTCAGCTACAAAAGGAAAAGATATGGTGATAACGGATCCCCTTGTCTACAGCCCCGTTCATTTGAAAAGAATTCTGAGAGATGTCCATTTTGAATAACACAAGAAGTTGTATTATAGGTTAGGATATTTATCCACCTAATAATTTGGGGACCAAAACCAAACTTTTAATACCAAATTTATAAAATCTTTAGAGACAGTATCAAAAGCCTTTTCAAAATCGATCAAAATTAATAAACCTGGGATGTCTCTTCTTTTTGTCTCAAACATAATGTCATAGAGTAATCTTGTGTTTTCGCTTATATTTCTACCAGGTATGAAACCAGTCTGATTTTCATGTATAAGAGAGCTGAGGGTTGTTTTAAAGCGATTAGAAATACAAGTACTTACTATTTTATACAGTGAATTCAATAAAGTTATTGGTCTCCAGTTTTTTAAAGGGTTCTGTTTTTATCTGGCTTGGGTATACATGTAATTACACCTCTTTTCATTGTGAAAGACATTTGATTCTTATTAAAAATTTCTTTAATAAATCTATAGATCAATATTTAAGGTCTTTCCAAAAATATTTAAAGAAATCTATTGAAATCCATCTACACCAGGGCTTTTGTTATTTTTCATATGTTTAACAGCCAATGTTATTTCTTCCATGTCAATATCTTTTTCTAATTTGTTTCTAAGATGTCCAGTTAAAGTGGGAGTTACCACATCTTGTAAACAAGTATCATCCTCATATTTCCTGCCAGAAGAGTAAAGTTGTTTGTAAAATGTTTTTACTTCATTTAAGATAGAAAAGCTGTCAGTAATTTCGTCATTGTTATCTGTGACAATCTTATTAATTGATTTGCTGACATAATTTCTATTTTCTAGGCTGCAAAAATACTTGGTTGGCTTTTCCCCCTCTTCATACCATAAAATTCTGTTTCTGAGCTGTATACCCCTTATTTCATCTTCTTTAATTTGTTGTAGTTCAAATTTATATTTTGCAAGTTCAGATAATAAATTTTCATCTATAGTTTGAAAGTCCTTTCTTATTGATTCTTCATAGTCTTTAATTTTAGTTTCTAATTCTGTGGTTTTATCAATGGTTTTCCTTTTTTAGAAGGTTGAAAATGAAATTGATTTTCCCCTAACATTCATAAGGAAGGTTTCTAAAATAAACTATCATCAATCTTAAGTTTTATATTAAGGTCATTAGCATTTTCATCATATACATCAATATCTGAATATTCTTCAACTTCGTCCTTTAATATGGATCTAACAAGTTCACTATAATCAGGTTGTAACAATAAAGGCGTATTAAATTTCCAATATCCCTGCCCTCTTTCTTGGTTAATAGTATTTTGAAAAGAGTAGGTAATAGCTGAGTGGTCACGTTTATAGCCTGGTAGAATATCGAGGAATCAAGCGTGAAGTTCAAGCAAATCTTGTGAGATTAAAAAAAGTCAGTCTGGCTTGTTGTCTTGGATGTTTTTTCCACCATGTAAATTTTTTCAGATTATCATTTGAATCACGTCAAACATCCACAAGATCATCAGCTGCAATGGTGATGGTGACTACTTTTCTGGCGTTGGGATTGTTGATATTTTTGTAATTTTCTAAATCAATGGAAGGATCAAGAACCAGATTCCAATCTCCTACCATAACCAGAGATTCATTCTCAAAATTGGATATACTTTCGAAAAGCTTTACATAAAATAGTGGGTCATTAATATTTGGTCCATAAAGGTTTGTGAGGGTAAATCTTTTATCTTCTACAGTTATGTCTGCAATAATAAAATTTCCACCTTCATCTTCCAGAGTTTTATGTATAGTGAGATCAATATTATTATTGAAAAGTCAACTACAATTCTTAACAAGTTCACTGAAAGAAACAACTGCAACCCTGAGTGCAGTGCAGACATTATTGTTCCCCATTCAGAACTGCCCTTTGCTGGTCTATAGGGTCTTTACATCCTTTGAGGACCCGTGAAGGTCCGGGTTCAATGAATCTTCTGTAACCCATGCTTGTCGTGAAGAGGCTGACTAATGGGATCGGGTGGTCAGGCTCGCTGACTTGGTTGACACATGTCATTGGTTCCCCATTGCGCAGATCGATGCTCATGCTGTTGATCACTGGATTGTCTGGTCCAGACTCGATTATTTACAGACCGCCGCCATATAGCTGGAATATTGCCGAGTGCGGCGTAAAACTAAACTCACTCATTCACTCACTGTTTTGTGAGGGTCATCTACCTTGGATTTGCCTGCTGCTTTGTTATTAGACTGATGTACGTTGACTGCTTCAATCGAGGACATGCTGTCTTCAGACCTCACCTCTACTGACACCTGGAATAAGACAAAGCATTTATTAGGTCATACTGTACATTCTAAGTGAAGGATAAGTTGTATTTAGCCAGATATAAGCCTTTGACATTGTCAAACTTGCAGCAACAGTTCACAGGTATATTATTAACGTTTGCAGGAGAAATGCAACAACTTCAATTCTTTTTTTTTCTTCTTTTTTTTTTTCAATCAACTTTTTTTATTTCATGAAAAAGTAAAGTCTTGTATCATAAGTTGTATATAATGTCACATCTGACATATCATAAGTATATAGTATAGAAACCCATATGTCAAGTTGTAAATAGCATCATATATGAACATATCATATTGTTTATAGCACGACATCTGACATATCAAGCTGTATATTGTGTCACATCCAACATATCATGTTGTATAATGCATACACATTCAACATATTTTGTTGTATACGGCGCCACATCTGACATACCACATTGTATATAGCGCCACATCTGACATAACATACTGTATATAGTGCATCACCCGACATAGCATATTGTATATAGTGTCACGGCCAATCTATCGTGTTGTACATAGTGTATTATCTGATATACATTGTAAATATGTCTTATCTAACATGTGTTGTATAGTGCCACAATTATTCTGACATGTCATGCTGTGTCTTGTGTCACATCCAATGTGTTGTGTTATATATTATGCAACATCGAAGTTATTGTGTTGTATATTGTGTCTTATATCCAACCTATAATATGTGTTCCCCAAAAGTTACCAGTGCCATTAACTAACTAGTCAATATAGAACTAAAACAATGATAATTTTTCAAAAAAGGAAACAGATCAAGATTTTACAAAAGAAGCGGTTGCTACATACACAGGTCAGGTTTGAAATACTGGGAATAATGGATGCCATTTATTAGCAAATTTCTTCATTTTATTCTTCCTTTTGGCAATGAAGCTTTCAACAGAAAAAATATCTTTTAAAGTCTTTATAAAGTTATCGCATTTTGGAATGTTGTTTTTCAAAGAAGAGACATAGATCTGTCTTTTTGCTGAAATGATTATATGATTAAGTAAGGGGTTTTTACTTAAGGAGCCAAAATACACCAAATATTTTGTCAAATTGACTTTTTGTATCAAATAAGTGTCAATCCAAATTTGAAGATCCTTCCAAAACTTCTTAGTTTCACTACATTCCAGTAAACATGGCACAAGTTTTCATCTTCATCTTTACAAAAGCTGCATGAGGCTCTGGTTAAGGTTCATTTTAAAAGTTCCTTTTTGGTATAGATAATACGCTGTGTAAAAGTTTATATTGGAACTCTAAGAGTTTTACATCATTAATGTCTGGTCTGTAAGACTTAAAATCATTGGTCAATCAAAGTCAGTATCTTCAAACACATTCTCCCATTTACTGACACACATATGAGGGTTATTATTAATAAATAACAATATATCATAAAATAATCTTGATCCTTGTAATGATTTCATAAAATTCTTTTGATAGGAGTTAGATTCATGTCATAGATTATTTATACACCTGTGATTTGTTATTGTATTTTTCCATGATTCAGGTATATCAGAGGTACAGATAAGCTGCGTATCATGCGTAAATTACGAAATATTTCTGAAAGAAAACTCAATTCTGTTAAGTCTATTGCGTACAGAATGCGGCAGAATTTTGTAAATACTCAATAGATGTGATGTTACATGCATTACACACAAAAGTGTCAAATCTTAAACTTAGCGTACCGGTGGATAGATACAATAACTGGGGTATTGAGGTTCTATTTCAGGACATGAACTTGGCAACTTGCAGTCTCTCTTATCGATTTCTCATATTACAGATCAAATATAAATAACAAACACTAACTTTAAACTTTATTATATTTTAACAATTAATGGAAAATGACAAAATACCCAATTGAGTTTGAGTGAGGTTGGTACAATTTATTTGGTTATTCAATGGAAAATTAGGATACCCAATTGACATGACCACAAGCGAGTACATAACTCAATGACCCAAAACGTTATCTGTAGCTCTGTATATTATTTAGAACATATGAGTGATCTAATTCTGTCCCTTTTATTGCATATTTACTTTTTAAAGATTCAAAAGACATCAAACCTTCTTCATCACACATGTCTTTGATGGTTAATAGTCCTTTATTTGCCCAATGACTGATATAATGATTTTGGTATTTAAAATTATGATTAAACCATAATGGCTGTGCTAAAATTTCATCAATGTTGTTTTCCTCTATGGTAATGTTAGTACAATACATGTTCCATGCTTTTAAAACATCTTTCCAATATGGACTATGAACATCAGCAATATTATAGAAATTAGCACCAAACTTCATGATATCATGTAACGGAAAATTGCATGGATTACATATTGATGATTTTCTTAAATAACGTCTCAAAGTGGATAGTTTCAAGGCATTGATAAAGGTTTTATGTCGATCATTCTTAAACCCCATGTATATAATCTTTTTCAAGGTACTTCTCTTAATTTTGTCAGTTTTGTCAGTCCAGATGAATTTGAAAAATATTTTATCAAGGGAGGTAACAAAAGCTTGGGGTGGGTTTGAGTAAAAGTGTTGAAAATATGAACTAATTTTGACATAGCTAGTGTCTTGATAACAGTGATTTTGCCGATTAATGTTAAATGTCTTTTTCTCCACACTGCCAATAATCTGTTAATTTCCTCTAGTTTTTTATTTGTATTGATGATCCATAGATCCTTCAGTTCAGCATTAAGTATAATTCCCAGAACAACAAATTCATTTTTTCGCCATTCAATATTCAAATCCTGACATAGTTTATCACCACAACCTGCTTTAGATCCAATCCAGATAGCTTTAGTCTTATCAATATTTATTTTTAGTCCTGACATCCTATAGAAAGTATTAATTGCATCAACAGCAGAGTATAGACATTTTTCTGTACCATCCAAAAACAACTCAGTATCATCTGCATATTGTCCTAATTTATACTCTGTATCATCAATTACTATACCTTTGATATTTTCATTTTGTCTTATCATGCATCCAAGGATTTCAGCTACAAAAAGGAAAAGATATGGTGATAACGGATCCCCTTGTCTACAGCCCGTTCATTTGAAAAGAATTCTGAGAGATGTCCATTTTGAATAACACAAGAAGTTGTATTATAGGTTAGGATATTTATCCACCTAATAATTTGGGGACCAAAACCAAACTTTTTAATACCAAATTTATAAAATCTTTAGAGACAGTATCAAAGCCTTTTCAAAATCGATCAAAATTAATAAACCTGGGATGTCTCTTCTTTTTGTCTCAAACATAATGTCAAAGAGTAATCTTGTGTTTTCGCTTATATTTCTACCAGGTATGAAACCAGTCTGATTTTCATGTATAAGAGAGTACGGGGTTGTTTTTAAACGATTAGAAATACAAGTACTTACTATTTTATACAGTGAATTCAATAAAGTTATTGGTCTCCAGTTTTTTAAAAGGGTTCTGTTTTTATCTGGCTTGGGTATACATGTAATTACACCTCTTTTCATTGTGAAAGACATTTGATTCTTATTAAAAATTTCTTTAATAAATCTATAGATCCAATATTTAAGGTCTTTCCAAAAATATTTAAAGAAATCTATTGGAAATCCATCTACACCAGGGCTTTTGTTATTTTTCATATGTTTAACAGCCAATGTTATTTCTTCCATGTCAATATCTTTTTCTAATTTGTTTCTAAGATGTCCAGTTAAAGTGGGAGTTACCACATCTTGTAAACAAGTATCATCCTCATATTTCCTGCCAGAAGAGTAAAGTTGTTTGTAAAATGTTTTTACTTCATTTAAGATAGAAAAGCTGTCAGTAATTTTGTCATTGTTATCTGTGACAATCTTATTAATTGATTTGCTGACATAATTTCTATTTTCTAGGCTGCAAAAATACTTGGTTGGCTTTTCCCCCTCTTCATACCATAAAATTCTGTTTCTGAGCTGTATACCCCTTATTTCATCTTCTTTAATTTGTTGTAGTTCAAATTTATATTTTGCAAGTTCAGATAATAAATTTTCATCTATAGTTTGAAAGTCCTTTCTTATTGATTCTTCATAGTCTTTAATTTTAGTTTCTAATTCTGTGGTTTTATCAATGGTTTTCCTTTTAGAAAGGTTGAAAATGAAATTGATTTTCCCCTAACATTCATAAGGAAGGTTTCTAAAAATAAACTATCATCAATCTTAAGTTTTATATTAAGGTCATTAGCATTTTCATCATATACATCAATATCTGAATATTCTTCAACTTTCGCCCTTTAATATGGATCTAACAAGTTCACTATACTCAGGTTGTAACAATAAAGGACGATTAAATTTCCAATATCCCTGCCCTCTTTCTTGGTTAATAGTATTTGAAAAGAGTAGGTAATAGCTGAGTGGTCCGCTTTATAGCCTGGTAGAATATCGGAATCAAGCATAAGGTTCAGCAAATCTTGTGAGATTAAAAAAGTCCAGTCTGGCTTGTTGTCTTGGATGTTTTTCCACCATGTAAATTTTTTCAGATTATCATTTGAATCATCACGCCAAATATCCACAAGATCATCAGCTGCAATGGTGTCTAAAACTACTTTTCTGGCCTTGGGATTGTTGATATTTTTGTAATTTTCTAAATCAATGGAAGGATCAAGAACCAGATTCCAATCTCCTACCATAACCAGAGATTCATTCTCAAAATTGGATATACTTTCGAAAAGCTTTACATAAAATAGTGGGTCATTAATATTTGGTCCATAAAGGTTTGTGAGGGTAAATCTTTTATCTTCTACAGTTATGTCTGCAATAATAAAATTTCCACCTTCATCTTCCAGAGTTTTATGTATAGTGAGATCAATATTATTATTGAAAAGTCAACTACAATTCTTAACAAGTTCACTGAAAGAAACAACTGCAACCCTGAGTGCAGTGCAGACATTATTGTTCCCCATTCAGAACTGCCCCTTTGCTGGTCTATAGGGTCTTTACATCCTTTGAGGACCCGTGAAGGTCCGGGTTCAAACGAATCTTCTGTAACCCATGCTTGTCGTAAGAGGCGACTAACGGGATCATGTGGTCAGGCTCGCTGACTTGGTTGACACATGTCATTGGTTCCCCTCATACTGTAGATCACTGGATTGTCTGGTCCAGACTCGATTATTTACAGACCGCCATATAGCTGGAATATTGCTGAGTGCAGCGTAAAACTAAACTCACTCATTCACTCACTTTTGTGAGGGTCATCTCCTACCTTGGATTTGCCTGCTGCTTTGTTATTAGACTGATGCACGTTGACTGCTTCAATCGAGGACATGCTGTCTTCAGACCTCACCTCTACTGACACCTGGAATAATACAAAGCATTTATTAGGTCATACTGTACATTCTAAGTGAAGGATAAGTTGTATTTAGCCAGATATAAGCCTTTGACATCGTCAAACTTGCAGCAATAGTAACAGTTCACAGGTATATTATTAACGTTTGCAGGAGAAATGCAACAACTTCAACTACAATTCTTAACAAGTTCACTGAAAGAAACAACTGCAACCCTGAGTGCGGTGCAGACATTATTGTTCACCATTCAGAACTGCCCCTTTGCATTTGTTTTTAGACACAAAGTATGCTGCTGTGAATAGATTCAGAATCATTACTGATTAGAAAGTGGATGGACATCCACTGGAGAATTTGCCTTTGAGGTCAACCTGGATTGGAAGATTTCATTATATTCAGAATGACAAAAGCAATTGCAAGTCGGTGAAGCTCGCCCCAAGGTTGGTATGATGACGAGAGATGGGACACCACCATCAAGGTGAATCTGACATGACAAATTCAGAGCTACCTGACCAAATGCTTCAGTATGTATAGTCCGTTTGGCTCAAAAGAGGACCGATGAATTGCAATCCAACTCGAAAACTAATAAACATAAAATACTCAATGAAATGCTGATCATAATCAAAACATCATACCCACTCTGTGAGGTTTTTGCAGAATTTTTGTCCTAAAAATAAAAAAGTTGTTTAACAATCTATCATTAAAATATTGACACTCTTCACTGTTTGTTACGAGGGAGGAGTGCAGAGAAAGGGACAGCCAGGTGTTTGAGAACGGATGGAGACGGCACAGCACAGGTGAATGAATAAATAACTTTGTCTGTGAACGTGCTTCTCGAACACCTGGCTGTCCCTTTCTCTGCACTCCTCCCTCGAAACAAACAGTGAAGAGGGACAGCCAGGTGTTCGAGAACCGGATGGAGACGCACTGCACAGGTGAATGAATAAATAACTTTGTCTGTGAACGTGCTTCTCGAACACCTGGCTGTCCCTTTCTCTGCACTCCTCCCTCGTAACAAACAGTGAAGAGGGACAGCCAGGTGGTCGAGAACGGATGGAGACGGCACAGCACAGGTGAATGAATAAATAACTTTGTCTGTGAACGTGCTTCTCGAACACCTGGCTGTCCCTTTCTCTGCACTCCTCCCTCGTAACAAACAGTGAACAGTGTCAATATTTTAATGATAGATTGTTAAACAACTTTTTTATTTTTAGGACAAAAATTCTGCAAAAACCTCACAGAGTTGGTATGATGTTTTGATTATGATCAGCAGAGGCTTGCCGAGGATATTTCTTTTCATTGAGTATTTTATGTTTATTAGTTTTCGAGTTAGATTGCAATTCATCGGGTCCCTTTTGAGCCAAACGGACTATAAAGGGAGGTATTCAGTAAGTAAAGGGAGGTAACTCCACTTGGAGGTTGGTTAGACTAGATCACTGAAACCTATGTTGATGACAAGAGACCGCTCAACAGATCAGGTGGTCAGGCTCCGTAGCACTGGTGGGCAGTGTGACATCATACCAGTCAAGCTGGATCATTGCTGATAGCATCAATCACTGGCTTGCGTGGTCCACCATTTACAAGCTTGCTGTGATATAGCAGCAATATTGCTGAGTTCAGCATAAAACAACAAACAAACCGCTTCGCTCTCACAACCATGATAACAGGTTCCTTACAAAATATACTTTCAAAAACACTATTAATAGTTTATCAGCTTGCCATAAATGATCTTATAAGAATATATTGACACTGTTTGGCTAAAGAATCCAAACAAAATAAGCTTGAACATAATAAGCAATGATTTTCACAAGTCTTACCACGGAAGGCGGTTTTACTACAGAACTCGAGCTGTCATCACTGTCAACCTGGAAGGAAGTAGTTTAAAATTTTTATAAGCATCATCACAAATAATTTCAAAAACCCTATGCGGTGAGATGAAATGGGGATTAATGTCACCCTCAAGACTAATGTCACGCTCAAGATAATTGCAGGTATGTACACCTAAGTGTGTGCATGGCTATTTGAATTCGCCAGGGTTAAGGCTGGACTATAGTGTCAGCCCACTGTTGGTTTGTTGTTTAATGCCGCACTCCACTTTTATATGGTGGCGGTATGCAAATTATCAAGTCTGGACCAGACAATCCAGTGATCAACAGCATGAGCATCAATCTACACAATGTGAGTGGGTATGTGTTTTTTACGCAGCATTTCGCACTATTCCAGCAATTTCACGGTGGGGAACACCAGAAATGGGCTTCACACGTTGTACCCATGTGGGGAATCGAACCCAGGTCTTTGGCGTGACGTGCTAACGCTTTAACCACTATGCTACCCCACTGACCCTCTTGGTAAGAACTACAAAAACACATCATTATGCTACAGGACCCATGCTTCTTTACTGTTCCCCACCTGAGGTGAGACCGCCTCCGTGGTGTAGTGGTTAGAGCATCCGCCCGGAGAGCGGAAGGTCGCGGGTTTGATCCCCGACCGCGTCATACCAAAAGACGTTAAAATATGGTACTTGTTGGTCCCTGCCTGGCGCTCGCCATTATTGGGTACAACAAGGACTGGTCGGCTCAGAGTCAGTATAATGTGTCTGAGTGGGGTATTCATGCTTCACTGCGGCATGGTATCTCAGTGGGCTAGCACTATAAAACCAGCTTAAGTCTGGGCTAGTACAAGCAGCCGCACATACACATACATACACACATATGCACGTCGTCATATGAGCAAAATATTCTCAAGCGCGACGTTAAACCCAATTTCACCTCACCTCACCTGAGGTGATTCCTCTCTAAATCATTAATACATACATCCAACTGTACAAAGAAGCTATGATATGATACTTATACCAACACCATCAGCGTGATACGACTCGTATCCAGACACAGTGTTACTATTTCATAAGTTCATATTCTCTCCAATCCATGCTTGTCTTGAGAGGCGACAAATGTGATGGGGTAGTCAGGCTCGCTGACGTGGTTGACACTTGTCATCGTATTCCAATTGCGTGGATAGATGTTCATACTGTTGATCACTGGATTCTCTGATCCAGACTCGACTATTTACAAACCTCCGCCATATAGGTAGAATATTATTGGGTGCAGCGTAAAACAAAAAAAACAACCAACCAACCAATCATACTCTCTCCCTCTCTGCATGTAAATCACAACCCAGAATAATTATTTTTTTAAGTCTCAGATGGTGAAGACAGGATATTGCTGGGGAGATCAACACAAGCTTGTGAGCACTGTGAAGATTCTGCTATTTTGCCCAACCATGAAATACTAGAGAATAAGCAGGAACTTCTGAACAGTTTCTATTATTATTCACATGTTTCTACACCAATAATTAAGAAATACACTTCGCTCTACCACCATGTATAGTGTAATAAAACACACTTTTGCCCTGAACTATTATAGTTAAAGCACGAGGACGCTTTTCTAAGATGCCAAATTTAATACTTTCTAAAGATAATTACGATTAATTTAAGGCAGAAAACAAACGACGGTGTCGGTGACCTAAATTAAGAATCCTCGCACAGGGCTAACTGGCGCGCTGTTCTATTGATGTGTCTGCCCCCTACGTTAAGACGAACGTTACCAGAAAAAAACAAATGATAACAATTTGATGACGGTTTACGTTCGGATTAAATATCTTCTCTAAATTATTTTAATTACATCTGTCATTAACGTAAACCATATGGGGCAATATGAACGTTGCATTTCTACTACCAGCGTAAGTTTAGATCAGTACATCCAGAGGAAGTTGAGTAGTCAAGTTTACATTCCACAATTGCATTGTGGGAATGTAAACATTATTTAACGCTACCGTGTCGCTGAAAACTTGTTAGTCGAAGTGACACATTTTAACCGTCGTAAAACATAAACGTAATGTTTCCACCAGTGATGTTAGCTGCGTGAAGCAACAGCAAACCAAGAAACTGGATGCAACGGTGTAGTTTACTGTAGGAGGCCGTACGAGGCGATAACAACTGACATGCATCGTGACGTCGCTTACATTGTGACGTAATGTAAAATGGTTCGATTACGAGGGGGCACACTAGAATGGCGCAGTGACGGGAAAACGTCATTCAATTGTTACGTCATCAAAAAACTATACCTTTATTGTCTGATAATGTTTTTTTTTTTCGATTGTTCTAACCGCTAGGCATCTTAGAAGTTGTAATATACTGTATGTACTGTGAATCTATGTATTGAATCATGTGCCTTGTGTTGTGCTGCAATATTGTATTGTCATATCAAAAGTTCTTGCAGTTCTCCCAATCTCAGAATGCGAGTTAAAAAACCAGCCTCATTGTTAGGTTGGTTCTTTCAAGAACATGGCAACCAGTCCCACTGACGGCTGTATCCTTTACCTCTCCAGCGGTCACATTTTAGTAGACTCACTCTATCCCCTGCATCCATTGCCTTGGTTCTCTTGATGATAAATTAGTTGCCGTTGATTTTTTTCATGTTATTTTAGCGAATCACAAATTTTATCATGAAATGATTTCTGTATTGACATAAGGGACAGTTCATAATTAATGGCTGGGGTGGGTGGGTGGGTGATGATGATTCTTATGTAAAAGCATGTATAATGTGAATGATCTCCCCTTAAGAGTTATGTACAAAGTAAGTGCCCCCCCCTCCATGCCATGTGCAAAATGAATGCCACCCCACCCCCACCCTTAATATTTAGGCATAATTTTTTAATATTTCCATGTACAAAATTGCTGAAACCCTCCCCAAAATGGGTCGCACACACATGTAAGCACACACGCATGTACATAAAATTATCATCACCCCCACTAAACATAAATTATGAACGGTCCCTAACTTTAGTTATCGAGTACTATTCAGTACTAGGTCTGAATAATTTCGAAAATTAGATCTTATTTAAGATTAGTGAACCAATCAAATCGCAGCATACACTTTTTCATGCAACATTATCCATTTACATAATTCTGTCAACCCACCTCTGATCCTTGCTTTGGCGTAGAAAACCCAGTTCCCCACACACCCTTCTTTCCAGCACTGACGTTAGAGCCCGCATCACTGTCACCCTGTACAGAGTTTATAACACTACCGTGGGTTTGATTAATGCTGCTGACGTCCGACAATCCACAACTGTCATTATCAGAGTTCTCTCTCCTTGACACACTACTTGACCTTGAAGACACACTGCTTGATTTGATTATCAGTTTCTTTGACTTTAATATGTCAAAGCTTCTCGCACTATCCTCCAGAAAAACACAGTCAGACTCCGCCTCACTGACATGTACAAATTCCTCCTCTGAATCTGACGTTTTCGTTTTTCCCGCCTTTTTTGACGGACTTCGTTTTGATTTTATAGGGCTAACTGACTTCATAACACTTAAGCTAGACTCATTCACACTATCTTCTGAGAACGTTCTACAGCTTGTAGACTTTGAAGGAGTGGCATCCATCTCACTCTCACTCTTCTGTGGCGAAACACAAACACTGTCGTCTGACGCTGCTGCAACTGGGATTACTTCATATTCACTGTCACTATCAATTTTAGCCCATTTCTTGCCTTTCCCACCCCTGAACACCTCCTCTTCTGACACTGACATATCAAACTGTTTCCCTTTTCGTTTCGATTTCTTTGAAGTTTTTCTCATCCTATGCTTTCCTTTAGAAGCCTCCTTAATTTGAACACCAAAACCATCACTTCCTGAATTATTTAACCCAATTCTTATGGGTAACACTCTTTCGTAACCACCTGCAACACCACTGCCATTTACAAGTTTTTTCAGTGATTTCTCGTCATCGGATTCAAACTCAGAATCGGAAGAATCGCTGTGGTGTTTCTGAGCCACAGTCCACCGCCTTCCTCCCTCCGTGTCATTCTCCAAGCCGCTGCCTTTTCTCTTAATCACAAGCTTCAGGGGTTTGTGATCACTGTCTGGGGCTTTCATCGCCTTTCCATTTTTCTTAGGTTCTGGACTCTCAGTCTCAGAACTAACCTGTTTATATTTCCGTTTTCTTTTCTTTTCTTTTTCTTTACAGATGGTTTCTCAACAGATGTTTTCTTAACTGACATCTCCTCTGTCTCCTCGGACACGGGAATATTGTCATCCTTGTTCTGACTTTGACCTCCGGCAGCCTTCAGAGGAATGTTGTCATCAGAATCGGAAGATTCATATTTTGTAAACTTGGTGGCTTTTTGGCTACACTGGGTGGAACGTTTTTGAGATTTTCCATTCCCAGTTATTTTCAACTTCTTAACCAAGGAATAAGTTGACAATGTCTCCCCATCAACTTCATCAACAGACAAAAGGGCCACATCGTCCGAGTCTGAAGAGGGTTTCTTTGTCATCTTTCTGGTCATATGCATCCAGTCAATCTGATCGTCAACTCGCTCCAGTACAACTGAACAGGTTTTCACATCAAAACTCTCACCTTCTAAAATCTTAGAGATATTCCTCTGTTCAAATTCTTGGAACAGGCCTCGTCTATCCTTCCGAACGGTATGATCACTTTCTGTTTCTGATATGGAAAACACAGATTTTTCTTTCAAAGAAGGATCTGATGAGAACCCTGGGGTCTCACTGTCAACACTATTCAAGAGATCTGAAAATTTGATTTCTTTCATTTTTCTCTCATATTTCTTGGAAGATGAAAATTTCTTTTCCCTCTCAATATCTTCCAAAACCTCAGACACATTCAGGGAATTCTTCCGAATGCCAGATCGCCTGCGAAACTTTCCACTTGATGTTAAACTCGGACAATTTCTTCCATCATCTTCCTCCTCATCTGTGGAGTCCAGACTCGTCACTTGAAGAACAGTTTCTTCATGCACGATATTCTTCACCTCTTTCTTCACCTCTTCCTCCACCGACCTCTTCTTCTCCTTTCTAGGCGATGTCCTAGTCTTTGTCGATGGCTTGGTCTTGTGATTATTTGCCTCCACAATGGCCGAGTGTTTGTTCAAGTCCACATTGACTCCACTATCTTCAGATGCAGCATCGGAGATCTTGCTGGACTCAATCCTGCTGGATGTGGACTCTCCCTCACTCCCAGAATCAGACGACTGAGCATAGCTTTTTCTCTTACATGATCTGGAAGTCTGTCTTCGTTTTTCAGGTGTAGTGACCTCGATATCAATCTGCAGACGATCATCATCAGAATCAATTGCACTCATGTCATCCTCACTTACCACTTTCTTTACTGCTGGCTTCGCAACTGACTTCTTCTTAGGATGCGTATTCTCAACATCAGAATCCTCATCCTCAGACTGAATGACTTTCCGTTTCCGTTTTCTCTTTGGCACAATAATCCCACCATCGCTATCGGACTCGGAAGCCAAGACAGTATCAGATCCTCCATCTTTATCAGAGTCCATCATGGCTGTTACCACTTCACTTATGCTCAGCCTCTTTCGCGCCTTGTTCACTGGTGTAAATTTCCTTCTTGTATTCTTAACCAAATCTACTCCTAACGTAGATTTATCAGACTTTTGGGAGTTTACTTTCTTAGCTTGTGATGATTTGTTTTGACTTTCAGAACGGATTTTCTTCGCCGGTAACCGTTTAGAAGGCTCTTGTGTCTGTTTACGGGGTGATATTGACCTGAGTTTGGATGGCAAACTCACTTCATCTTGACTGGCTCGTTCCTTCTTTTCAAAGTCACTATCTTTTTTGGTTCCTTTAGATGTCTGTGTGTTTAGCTTCAATGGAACCGACTTGGACTGACCACTTTCATGGATTCCTGTGGACTCAATCTCATTATCAATCTTGTTGTGCCGTACTGACGTAGAACTGCCTGACTGGCTGTCCTCCCCACTCCGAGATTCCACATCACTTTCATCAGACTTTGGGCATTTCTTTTTCTCTAATTTTGTTTTAATCTCTGGGATATCTGATGCACCTGACTGTTTGCTGCCATCGTTAGTTTCTGATTTTCTTCTGGACAGAGTCCAGGCTTCTGTTTTCTTAACTGGTGATTTAACACCTGACTTGTCTTTGTTCTGAAGCACAAAATACAACCGATGTGAAGGTGAGATGAAGCTAAAGGCTATGTTATGGGTCTACATCTCTCCACACACTTCTACCCTCTACTCGTCTTCTCTCATCCCTTCTGCACCTATCCACTATTGTCTATTCCCCACCCCTTCTTTGTCTCCAACATCCTCAAATCTCCCTTCCTCCTCTCCAACATTCTCAACTCTCTTCCTCCTCTCCTCCCCCCAATCCTCCTCTCCAACATCCCCAGCTCTCTTCCTACTCCCCAATTCTTCTTTCCTCTAACTCCCCAATCTCTTCCTCCTCTAACTCCCCAATCTCCTCCTCCTCTCCAACATCCTCAACTCTCTTCCTCCTCTAACTCACCCAATATCTTCCTCCTCTCCAACATCCTCAACTCTCTTCCTCCTCTAACTCACCCAATCTCCTCCTCCTCTCCAACATCCTCAACTCCCCTAATCTCTTCCACCTCTTCCTCCCCAATCTCTTCCTCCTCTTCCCCACCTTCTACTCCCCCAATCTCTTCCTCCATCAACCACCCTCTACTCCCCCAATCTCTTCCTCCCCCAATCTCTTCCTCCTCTTCGCCACCTTCTACTCCCCCATCTCTTCCTCCTCTTACTCCCCAATATCTTCCTCCTCTCCTCCACTCTCTACTCACCCAATCTCTTCCTCCACACTCTACTCCCCAATCTCTTCCTCCTCTCCTCCACTCTCTACTCACCCAATCTCTTCCTCTTCTCCTCCACCATCTACTCCCCCAATCTCTTCCTCCTCTCTACCACTCTCTACTCACCCAATCTCTTCCTCCTCTACCTTTTCTACTCACCCGATCTCTTCCTCATCTCAACCACACTCAAATCTCTACCACATCCTCCTCTCCACCCCATCTGCTGTGGATTTACCCTTACCTCTGTCCGTGCGGAGTCCCCCTGGGTGAAGAGTTCGTCCAGCACACAGCTGACCAGCTCCTTGAGCTTCTGCTTCTCCTGGTGAGACAGCTGTTTCCGTGTGTGTTTCTCATAGGCCTTCCTCACACCCTTGGTGGTCAGGACACTGCAACACAGGGGCACATACCGTAAACCACAATAGCATTAGCACCAGGGCTTCTACACATGTAGACAGACCAACAACACTGCGATAATCTGAGGTTTCAAATTACAACAACGACCTCCGATTACAATAATTGACATGATGGTTTCATAGCTGAAATATAAAATGTCAGAGCTAGTATGGGGAGTTGCTGCAATCTTCAAGTCATAAATACAGGGGAGATAACCTTGTGAAAGATAAACAGTGTTGCATCTCTGTGAGTGAGTGAGTGAGTGAGTGAGTTTAGTTTAGTTTTACGCCGCACTCAGCAATATTCCAGCTATATGGCGGTGGTCTGTAAATAATCGAGTCTGGACCAGATAATCCAGTGATCATCAGCATGAGCATCGATCTGCGCAGTTGGGAACCGATGACATGACATGTGTCAACCAAGTAAGCCAGCGAGCCTGACCACCCGATCCCGTTGAATGAATGCCCTGAATTGAACGACAAGCATAGTGAAGAATGAATTTTGTGGCAAGCATGGGTTGCTGAAGACCTATTCTACCCAAATGAATGAATGAATGAATGAATGAATGAATGAATGAATGAATGAATGAATGAATGAATGAATGAATGAATGAATGAATGAATGAATGAATAGAATGACTGATTTCAAGAGCATAAATCTATGTACATATGATGACATGCATCTATGTCATGCCTCTTATGACAAGCATGGGTTGCTGAGGACCAATTCTAACATGAATCAGTGCTTACAATGTCAATCACTGGATGTCTCTTCCAGACTTGATTATTTTTAGACTAGCTCTAGAATATTGATCAGCGTGGCATTAAAAAATAAACAAACCACTTTTTTACATCAGAATTTGACCTCAACTTGTCAAAAAACGAAACAATATCATCAGGGCCCCGTTTCACAAAGTTATCATAGAGCTATGACTGTCGTAACTCCCATACTGTGACAAACTTACGACAGTTGTAGCGCTAAGACAGCTTTGTGAAGCTGGGCCCAGATGACAAAAATTCAAACATTTTTCAAATTCACAACAAACATAATACACTACCCACGTCCTTTTAAATAAAATAACCTTTAGGAAATAACAACAAAATCCATACCGACGATGACTGAAACAATTCACCTTACTGATACGTATCCCGCTTTAACTGGTCTGTACTTATCACCTTGAAGTTCAAGGCCATATATTCAACAACCCTCCTTCACAAGCACCTCAGATTACCACACAACAAGATGGCAATGTCAGCAGGGCGTGCAAGAGTATTGATCCACAGAATTTAATACCTGATATTGATCCGTAATCACTACTACCGGTACTTGTCTCTATTGCAATATCTAGAAAGATTTTCTTTTGTGGAAAATACTCATAAAATTTCTTTCCATCTGAATAAGGAAGCCAGGTGGTGAAACTAAATGAAATTGTTAGACCGAACTAATATCACTTCTTGCTGCAAAATAATGTTTACAGATTTCATTGTTGAAATACCATGAGCAAGAAATACAAAAATGCAAAAGAAAACAACAAATTTCAAAACAGTTTTTAATTTACAAAGAAAACCGTAATTAAACATAAGGTTTGTCCCCAATGAACAATATTCAAAAATATAAAAAATCAGAAACAGATAAAAAGCATAAAATCTTTCTAGACTGCTCATAATAGACAAACATAAAATTTCTTAAAAAACAAGTTTACATTTTCACTATGACCAGAATCAGTTATTTTCAAAAGAATACTGTTCCACATTATCTAATAAATCTGTGCGACAGACGCCATGTCACCCAATGCCGTCAAACAATGGATAACGGCATATGCTTACTGTAAGCTGAAGCAAGAAAAACATGGAACTTGCCCAAAATATGTTGACTATCAACAATAAAATACAAGTTTATCACAGCTTGTGACATTCTCAACCAGTCTCAAGTCTTATCAAGTAAATATTTTTTCATACGAGCATGTCTGAGAAATAAACAAGGAAGGTTAACAGACTGACTGTTGTCACCTTTAGATTTATGACCCTTACAGAGATCTATCTGGGAATGCTCAGAGAGCAATATTCTGCCCAAAATCAAAGCATATGTTAAAAATTTCAAATTTGGAATAAAACAAGAGGTTGACTTTCACGACCAATATGGACTTAAAAACAATAAAGCTTAGTTTCACATTATTGTATTGAATACAAAAAATAAATATTAATCAATGAAAGTGAGAACTTTACAAATAATCCCCGTTTTTAACAACATAATTTTGTGTCCCCAATTTGCCTGCCCAGGCACCCAGTTGAGAATCCAAGATAAAATCCTGTAGCCCAGATTGGACTATACTACTAGGAAGAAGGTAAGGAACTCCAGAATCTTTATATCAGAGTTGATCTGGTGGTCCTGTGCATAGTGCTCAGGTCAGGAATCAGTTGGGCAGAGGCAATCATTGGATAGGTGACCGTGTTTGTCAGCTTGACTCCTGAGAGATTTTAAGACTTCAGCCCTGCCCCACAATGAAGCACATGTGATACATGTGGTCTCACCTTAGGCAAGTGAGTTTGTTCAAAATTGCCTCTGTTCACCCAGCATAAAATGGGTACCCGGTGGGATATGTCATGTGACTATAAGTCATAATCTTCAAGCACCTCACAGACAGCTTGGGTTATCCGGGGTAATAATTGTCTGCGCATGCTGTCGGTGAGCATTTAGAGCAATATAAATGGACTAATTATTTATTATTATAAATTATAATTAAGTATTAATTATTAAATTTAATTAATTATTAATTATTTGATCTGTCATACAATGCTAGTTATAATTCCAATGCACTGTGCTACTGTGTACCACAATGCAGCTGAACGCACTAATGCTCTATGCAACAAATCTTGTATTTTATACACTCTGAAAAACAATCACAGCAACTTTCATTATCATCTCTCAAATTACTATGATTAACAGCTGTGATTGTGACTCATAACATACAATGAGAACTAAAAACCATTCATAACACATTTACACCAAATTATTCATATAAACGACTTGAAACGAGAATTCAAGAGTCAGTTGTATCCTGCATTTAACATATTTATCCACATCATGCACGTGCATCATTTGATTATCAATTACAGGGACATTGGATACCCAGACCCCAGATGTCCAGAAACCTCACGATCGGTCAATTTTCATAAAAAAAACAATCTCTTACATTATAAAGTGACTGTCTATATAACCGATATGCTGTTTCCGTTTCCAGACGGTAATTTCTACAAACAAACTGGCTAAATCAACACACAAAAAACGAAAAATCCAGATATTCATTTATCCGGACGATTTACGCAAAAACAAATGTGTCCAGGTATCCGGGTCTCACTGTATACCAAAGAACAAATTTCAACCAGACGTAAGATGGTGAGTCACCACATTGCTGTCAAATGTATACAGAGGCCCAGATAAGCTGCGTATCCGGGTAAAATACGCATATAAAATTTCCAATTATGCATTGAAAATAATTGTTGCGTACCAATTACGCATTTAAAATGTTAGATATGCAAAATGTTTAAAACAAATGCGTACGGAATATATTTATAAAAACCGCTTGCGTAATGAAAAAGACATCGATTGCTATCAAGTTGTACTGTTAGTATAGGACAAGTGTTGTACTGTCAGTATAGGATGAGTGATTTTTTATGAAATCATTTCCATTATATTTAACTTGGTTTTGATTAGGTATGTCATAAGGCAGAACATACCTGCTTAGTAAACTTACTCAATGACATAATACTTAGGTGAGTAAAATGACTAAAATATGCACATATTTGAAAGCAGTGGGGAACGGAAAATGAAATACCCACTCAACATTCATAATACCCACTCCAAAATATACAGTGGGTACAGTACCCACATGAGCTAAATCTTATCTGGAGCTCTGTGTATATACTGAGGGAACAAATAAGGGAACACATATTGATAAAAGTGTTCCTTTATTCTCATCCATGTTTCTTTGAAGGCTGTGTATTTCTCTATAGGTGAATGTCTGAGAATAAGGAAAGAAACACTGCAATGTGTTCCCTTATTTGTTTCCCTCAGTATATCTGATTGATCACTATCCTGTCTGGTTTGGATATACACCATTTTGCATATAGTGCTTTGAGATTCATTTTTTAAGAATTGTGAATATTCAATTCTAGTGATTTTCATATTTTCATGAAGCAATATGGTTTGATTCACCTTAAAACGGAATGACCTATATTACCTATGATCTTTATCAACCTTTGGTGGTTTGAAAAAAATCAATGAGTTAGGTCATTCATAAAATTCCATTTACTTGAATATGTACATTTAACTCAGGGTCTTTTTCGCACCTATGAAGATCCGGGTTAGAATTGGTCCTCTGCAAACCAATCTTTGATAATCTCCAGGGTATACGTTACGATCACTCTCCACTATACCCTGGATGCATCCACGGCTTGGCCTGATAATTATATTACCTCCCTTGGCTGGCTGCGCATTCTCACAGTAGCCAATCAGCTAAGCCGCCGTTACATAAGAGCTTGCCAGTGTCAACAAAGATAGTGGTCGCAGTCGCGAAGGTTTGTTGGCAGTACCACTCAGATTTTTGGAGGAAAATACAGACAAAATGACAGATCTGAAACTTTCAAAAAGAACTCCTTCCACATCTTTCAGAGTACCCTCTGCATCAATTGTGTTGCCAAGTTTAAACGGTTAGATAATTTAAGAAGCAAAAGTGAGTTGTGATTGGTTTGCTCAACTTCCCAGCGTAGGCACCTGATTGGATAAAAAGCCAGCAAAGGGAGGTAATAAAATCATCGGGCCAAGCCGTGGATGCATCCAGGGTATAGTGGAGAGTGATCGTGACATATACCCTGGAGATTATCGCGGATGCTGCAACCCATTCTTTTCATAATAGGCATTGGGTGGTCAGGCTCACTGACTTGGTTGACATTTCATCATATCCCAACTGCACACATCGATGATCATGATTTTGATTCCTGGATTGTCTGGTCCAGATTTTTCGCTAATTTACAAACTGCTCAGTCCATCTTTAAACAACAAACAAGCAAGTTTTTCTCAACAAGCTCATTGTTTGTTGTGTAACCCTAATCCAGAAATATTCCACCTTTATCACAAGTCTGAAGTGAGTTTTACACCACTCGTATACATCACAGCTGTGGTGAATGAGTAAGTGAGTGAGTTTAGTTTTACGCCGCTTTTAGCCATATTCCAGCACTATCACAACGGGAACACCAAAAACAGGCTTCACATATTGTACCCATGTGGGGAATCGAACGAAGGTCTTTGGCGTGACAAGCGGATGCTTTAACCACTAGGCTACCCCACCACCCCCAAAGAGTGGGTGAGTGAGTGAGTATGGTTTTAAGCCGCTTTTAGCAATATTCCAGCAATATCACAACGGGGGACACCAGAACTGGGCTTCACACATTGTACCCATCTGGGGAATCAAACCAGGGTCTTCAGCGTGACGAGTGAACGCTTTAACCACTACCCCATCACACACCAGGATACGAAGACATGCAGTGAAGTCAGTGAGCCTGAGTATGGGATCTCATCATCTGCTCTTCTCTAAAAACTAGAGCTGTGTATCGAGGCCTAAGTGGCGAGACGATATATCCCGATACCAGTTTAATGAGGCGAGACGATATATCATGAAAGTATTGGCAAGGAACCTGCGAGACGATTATGATCACGATACAGTGATGGCGATACGATACGCATCCCGATACTTTACAATTCTAAAAACAGGACGTATATGATAAATAAAATGACTGAATCTTTATTTGTTATTCAGCAGAACATGTGTTACATTCACACACACTTAAAAGGCTGTTCATGTAATTAAGTTTCAGCATTTAATACAATCAAACATATTCAGTATACCTTGATCTAGGTTTCCCTTGGAAGTTGTGTTTCTGCACCAATGCTTGCACAGGCAATTTATACAGAAATTTATACCAGAATCACTGCAAAAAACTCATAAGTATGCTTTCTAAATTTTATCTTCTCTTTCTTAACAAAGCTAAGACATCGTTCATAGTTGTTAATAAATGGTGTTATTTGTCAAACAACTAAAACAAGTTTCAATTACTTACAGTTCACAGAGATTGTTCACATGCTTTCACTGATACACTAACTCCTTTGTTCATGTAACAAAGATGGCAGACACAAACAAATTCCTTTTAGGTTCAGTTTGTTTTTAAAATTCAAAAATTTCAAAGAGACTCCCTTCCTATTACTTATGCAGTACTCCCTACAACTTTAAGTAATATTTAAGTAGTATCGGGATATATCGTCTCTTGTGGCGATACATCGATGTATCATGGACCCTCGCGATATAAATATCCTGATATATTGCCTAACCGTGTTTTGTATCGATGCACTCGTATCGCGAAGTTGACGATGCAAACATCGATACTATCGATGAATCGTTACACCACTACTAAAAACATGGGTTGGTGAAGATTAGTTTTAACACAGATCTTCTCCAGCCACGAACCAAGTAGGAACTATTTCCCTTTAGACTGTGTGTTTCAGCACGGGGATGTTTTAGACATGATCCGCAAAATTCATGCTTGTTTCTGGGGTTTTGTTTCATTCTTTTCAGGATAATATTGTCATTTTTGTGACAACTCTTATTCACTGCCTATCAATAATAATATTAACAGCAGCACTTTTTATAGTGCATAATAATAAACAGAATTCCTAAATCGATTTAACTGCTGTCTGTTGTAAGGCAGTTAATGGATGGCCTTGTCAGTCTGCCTAGTGGAACATAGAAAAACACTACAATGTTTATCATTAAGTGTATTACAGTATGATAATACGGTGCATTTGTTGGAGGAATGATTTAGAACGCAAACGGGGTACATTCGTACTTGTGACAAACAAACCAGATCAAAGAGAGACCAACCAGTTATTATATTATTCTAGTGAGTAGGTAGGAAAGTCCTTTTCCAACTGTTTTGAGCCACTGTTGTTCCATTATAAGAAACATAAAGTCAAATATTTTCTGTGGACAAAAATAGACACATCTACTTGCAGTTCCACAAAAATCAAAGTGATTGGCACAGTCAACTTTAGACATGGAATATTTCCAAAATGACATGAAGGAAATGGCAATAACTGGTCGGTTGCCAGGCCATTAAGACATTTTGTAACATAATCCGTCAATGTCCTAGAAAATGAACTGACTGGAAACCTGTGACCAGCTGGAATATACAAAACAGCTGACTTCTGCCATATTGTAGGGGCAATGAAGGTGTTTATCTGTACAGATGTGTACAGTATTAGAAATAAAAAAAACTGTAAAGTGGAATAAATGGAGTCCTTTTAGTTGCACACTAGGCTAGGCTTGTATAGATAGTCAAATTTGGCTGTGCAAATTTGCAATAATGATGCATTTGGGCCTGATAACGTAACATGATATGGCATTTTAAGTCATTCTTATCATCATAAAGAGAAGTATACTGGAAAACAACCATAGGTCTTCATGACATCTCAAAAATCATATTTTAGCATAATGATTACAGTATACACTACACATGTATTGAATTTGAACATTTCTCCGATTCCACACTTAAGTATCTATTGTTTACATTCAGTTAAATGTAGACATCGATCGGAGATGTACTGATCAAGAACTATTTACATTCCACCATATGACTGAGAGTTGTTTGCCATGCTGTTGAATCGATGTTGACATCCTGTGCTTGTCATCACTGACTCGTCACGACATTGCGTTGCTGTGCGATATCTTCTGGAAACTGTTCATTTATTAATACATCTGAAATACTAAGTATCCAGAAATACTAACCTCAGGTCGGACTCCTTGATCAAATTTTTCACAAACTCTTCCATTTTTGGCGCGTGCTCTTATCACATAGAGCACTGTGGATCATTCGTTCATGAATGCTTCAAGCGACTTCCGCTCAGAAATGTTACATGTTGTGGACAAATGCGGAGTTGCTGCAGTGAAAAAACTAACAACATATATTTCATGAATGTGTTATTATGATACGATATGTGACAATTACAGAATTTTAGAAACGTTGGTCGATAAAGAACGTGAAATTTGTCACCAGCCTAATGTAAACATCTTCGCTTTTCGCTAACCGGTCCCTTTACTTGACTTTCTTACCTTCATGGCAAAAGATGCACGGGGCCCTATTTGGGTATTTCTGTCAAGTCGTTGAGGTTCACTGAACACGGTATTATTCAATCGGACCATAACTCTCCTAAAACATGTGTCAATACACCATTCATCATATTATTTTATGCAATTTAATATTGTGTTAAAATGCCACAGTTGCGTTTGGAATAAACCTGAATAATTATGTAATTGTCCTTTCTCGTGTGGCATATAAATGGCACTGAGGCTGAAAATCATCAACTGAAATAAATAGGAGCTTTGAAATATGACATTACCATTTTATGAAGAAATGGACATAAAATGACAGTGAATCATATTTGCAAAATAAAACAAACGAAATAACACATTTCTGTGATATATTTGAAGCAGATGTCTATTAAGTACATGTGTTTCTGTTTAATAAATTTAACAGCTGATTTAAAGAGGCATTGAGTGGGTTCATTAAATGATATTCCTGCATACTCTGTTTTCACTTGGTAAACTGGGTTCAGCTGAAAGTTACTGCTATGTACCAAGTAGATGACTCTGTATCGATGAAAGATAAAAAGGGAAACAAGTTAAAACGTGATCTACAAAGTTTTTGTGTGAAATAGATCACTGACTTCTCCTTTACCTTTTTATTGATTCTGGTGGGATTTTGTCATAATGACCCTGTTCTTTCATATTTGTATGTGTTCTATACATTGTTCAGGCTAGACAAATATTTCCATTTTACAAATATTATGAGTTCAGATGCCAGAAAGGACAATTACATGACTATGTTATGCAGAAATATCCTAAAATTGTGTTAAACTAACAGTTGTAATCAAGAAATAACTAAAAGTATATTTAAGAACATATTTTCATGCAAACACAGCATTCAAATGATTATTTTTGGGCTTGGCTGTTGAAAAATACAAACAAAAGATAGATTTATCTCAGGTTAAAACATATGTTTCACTCAAAAGCATTCGATCGGACAGCTTACATGGAAAATGAGATTAATATAAAGAAATAAATCATAGATTTTTCAACAAATGTTATCATCTGGTACATGACATTTGCATAATAATGTTATAGATCATCACAGCCATATTTGCTCATCACCATATTGTTATTGGGAGACAGGCTTCCAATCTGTTTCATACAAAACAAACGATAATGGCAATTGATTCTTGTTGATTGTATCTATATTGGGTCGGAAATAATAAATAAAACATTCATTATTTTATTAATGACAATATTTATTCATATGTCATTTTATGGAAAATTCTGTTTATAACTGGCCCACTAAACGAGATTAATAAGAGGTATATGAGTTGTGACAGAATGTGTTGGATTATGTACTGGTCTATTGTTTCCCATACAGTCTGACAGCTCTGTTTGATATAGGGGTCTATGGAACCTGCTGGTTGATTTCTGGGATAGGTCTGGTCACTGTAATTATAGCCTCGTGTGAAACTGATCCCCTGTGTCTGTGTTATAAGGTAACATTTATGGGTGGACTGATGTTAGATCATAATGCTTAAGGTAGCATACACTTATTACGTAATTCTCTTGCCTGCCACCACCAGCTGAGGAAAGATATTTTTGAAGAGGGGTTACTGATTTTGATTGAGAAATATTTTGTCTTTAGGTAACAATGTAATGCATTGTTTAGGATTTTTATGTTCGTCTTCGTGATCAATTCCGATTGGTAAGAGATGAAAAATAGATAATCTTGACCTGGTTTGGGTCCTTACAAATATTATGAATCTAAAATCTAACACTGGCATTTTATTGTAATTTTTGTTGTTGGAGCGACCTTTATTGTTTGAAGTATTAAAAACCCTCTTTTTTTCGGTGATTTAAGTTTTTTGGTCAGCTGAACTGTAAATCAACCCCAAAATGTAAAGTCTGATGTATATTATACCCTACACTTTTATGACACTGTTTCAGAAAAGTGTAAAACCGTTTTCACATGAAATGTCCATTTTTGGACAAACAAATTTGAAAGATTTTAAAGAAACATTTCAACATTTCCGCTAAGGCTAAAGGTGTAATTTCTTGTATTTATCTCGTCTTTGTATCTGTACATACACAAAGCAGGGGTTATCTGAAATCAAGGTGGAAAAGGTCAATGTGTAGTAATTTCCTAGAATCAAAGATTTGTGTGTGTGTGTGTGTTTGAGAATTGATCTCCATCATCCCAGGCTCAGGTCATCAGGCTTGCTGATGTTGCTGATGACAGTGATGTTGCTGATGTATGTACCATCCCAGGAGGGTGAGGGTGGGGGCGTGGTGTGTCAGGCTTGCTCAGGTTGCTGATGTTGCTGATGAGAGGGTGAGGGTGTTGGGGGTGATGTGTGGCTTGCTTGCTGATGCTATGTATGTACATAGGTGGATCCAGAGAGGGTGAGGGTGGGGTGGGGGTGCGTGTCAGGCTTGCTGATGTTGCTGATGTATGTAACGCGATAGGTGGATCCAGAGAGGGTGAGGGGGTGTCAGGGGTGCTGATGGCTTGCTGATTGCTGATGTATGTATGTAACATAGGTGGATCCAGAGGGGGGTGGGGGTGAGGGGGTGCGTCAGGCTTGCTGATGTTGCTGATGTATGTAACGATAGGTGGATCCAGAGGGGGTGCTGATGTTGCTGATGTATGTTGCTGATGTTGCTGATGTATGTAACGCATAGGTGGTGCGGTCAGGCTTGGGGTGATCCATGATGTATGTAACACATAGGTGGATCCAGAGGGGTGAGGGGTGAGGGGGTGCGTGTCAGGGGTGCTGATGTTGCTGATGTATGTAACATAGGTGGTGGATCCAGGGGGGTGAGGGGGGGGGTGCGGTCAGGGTGGGGATGTGAGGTGGATCCAGAGAGGGTGGGGGTGAGGGTGCGGTCAGAGGGGGTGCGTGTCCAGAGGGGGGGTGAGGGGGAAGTGCCCACCCTTTTGTCCTGAAAGTTTAAAATGACCATTGAAACACTTGTGAAAACGGGTGAAACTGAAGTGTGCAACAACCCCCCAAAATTGGAAGATATATCGGAGTCAGTCAATGTTGATATGATAATAATGAATGTTTGGAGAGTGCATCACCACTTGTACTTTTTTATGACCATAGTTTGGTGTATGGTGTATGACGTAAAATTTGCATGTGTACAATTTTAATTTTCAAACAAAACAGAACCATCTAGAAACAAACACTAAAACAACTGTGTGATGCAAGATGATTGTCAAAATTAATGGTCTACAGTGATTTATCAACCTTTTCGAAAACCGTCAAAATCAAGAATGACACCCCATGCACATGTATGGGGCTACTGCGTTTTGCACGCTTTGCGTTGTGTTTAGGGGTGGTGATAAAGAGAAATGGTGGTGCGTTCATAAGATGTCTGTCTTTGAAAAGTTTGTTAATGGTTATACTTCCTTTCCAAATTGAAAGTTCAGGTTCCCCTTTTTTAAGTGAGTGAGTGAGTGAGTGAGTTATAATTTATCGTCACATCGGCAATATTTCAACCATATCGGGACGAGAACATTTTATTGTTATACATAGTAATTTATGGTAAATTATAAAAACCTGTCATCGAAGGAAAGTAAAACCCCTTTTTTAAGAGAATATATTGAAAAATAATGTCTTTTTTTTGTCAGAAAAAGAGAATGAGCAAATTTAAATAAATAATATTTTGTTTATATATTTTTTGTGTGGCTTTTGATGCAGTCAACTGACCCAAGTGTTGCTAAACTGACAGGTTTATGATGTGTACAGATGCAGGCAGCATCTGTTGGTGAGCCAGTTGTTGTCCAGTCATCCATGACATACTGTTCCAGGCTACATGCCCCTGGCTACTACCCTGACCAGGAGCTGGGATGCATGTCCGTCTGTATGATTCATGTCCAGACACATCAAACAGCCAGCTACAGTATGACGTAATATGATTGATTGTCTATTGCTTTCAGGTCCAGCCTTTCAATGTTCGTGTTGTCATAGCAACATGGCGTACCTTACAATTCAATAGTTGTCATTGACTTGGAAAATTATACATTTTGAAAATGACCAAATATGTGTTTTGTTGATATACATAGCTGTATGTGTCATCTGTATGTGTATCTGTCATCTGTATGTGTGTATCTTTTTGATAGACACAGATCACATGAGTGATGTATATAGAACAGCTGTGAGCTGTATGTGTCTTGTTGATGGACACAGATCACATGAGTGAATCAATGTATATAGAACAGCTGTGAGCTGTATGTGTCTTGTTGATAGACATGGATCACCACATGAGTGATGTATATAGTACAGCTGTGAGCTGCATGTGTCTTGTTGATAGACACAGATCACCACATGAGTGATGTATATAGTACAGCTGTGAGCTGTATGTATCTTGTTGATGGACACAGATCACCATCTGAGTGATGTATGTAGAACAGCTGTGAGCTGCATGTGTCTTGTTGATGGACACAGATCACCACCTGAGTGATGTATATAGAACAGCTGTGAGTTGTATATGTCTTGTTGATAGACACAGATCACCACATGAGTGATGTATATAGAACAGCTGTGAGTTGTATATGTCTTGTTGATGGACACAAATCACAACATGAGTGATGTATATAGTACAGGTGTGAGCTGCATGTGTCTTGTTGATGGACACAGATCACCATCTGAGTGATGTATATAGTACAGCTGTGAGCTGCATGTGTCTTGTTGATAGACACAGATCACCACATGAGTGATGTATATAGAACAGC